TGATCCTAGAGCACCAAGGACAGTGAGGGAGACAGGTCTCGATATCTCTAGCATCGTAACGCCGAGATGATCACCACGTCGGCCATGCCCTCCAAATGTGGAGTTTCTCGGCCCCTCCATACGGAGCTACACGGCGATGGCACTGAGTCGCCAACGCCAAGGGTCCGATTCCCCCGCCGAAACGGATCGGCGTCATGAATCAATCGCCCGAGCCATGTGGCAGACTCTTCTCTGCCACCTCGTCGGAGCCTCCCCGATAGCATTCCCCTGGGCACATTGACCAGAGTCCCCCAGGCTCACAAAAAGGTCGTCGCGCACTGCGCCAACCAGCAGGGAATCGATGTCGCCATCAGCGGCTCCAAGCACGCCGGTGCAGTAGCGCCGCCTGTGACTCGATGATCCGACCCCGTCATGCCCACCAGCAAGATAAGAAGTGGTTCGCTGACGGGGCCACCCGTGTCGCAACCCTCGCGTATGCAAGATCTACGAGTGACCGCTCCTCAATAACGCAACCCAACAGTGCCGCCACTAGCCACTCATAACCCACTGCCCTCGCCTTGAATAATGTCGTGATGGCCTTCGTTGCAGATTCTGCTGGGACGCTGTCGGGGGTTGGCGACGCACGACCATGTCACTTGCCTCTTCTGGATAGCAATGTTGCAGACCCGCCACGCGAGGATCGACATGGAGGATGGTTAAGAGGGACTGGAGGACTGCCGCAGCCTGGCTGATGGAAAAACTTCTGTTGTCGTGCATCGTTTTCGTTTTCATTACTTGCGTTTGTCTTGTAGAGAGACTACTGATTCCATTGCTGTGAAAATGGCGACAGAAACACCAAGTGCCGGATCTAGCGAGCAGGATGCCCATCAGAAGGATGTCACACTCTCCGCCGAACAGGGTAGCGCCGAGGAAACACATCCTGTGAAGCCTGTCTCCCGCTTCACGAGGTGGTACCGCAGCCCTCTGTTCAACGTCATCATCGTTGGTCTGATCTCGTTCACGCAGCCCGGTATCTGGAATGCCCTTAACAGTAGGTCGACGACCTCTTGCAAGTAGAGTAGTCCATGCTGACCCGGCGCAGACACGGGTGCTGGAGGCCAACAGGAACCCTATCTTGTCAACGGAGCCAACTCCCTGACCTTTGGTATCATGGTCTTTGGCTGCTCTATTTTCTCCATTGTCGCCAACAAGATCGGTCTTAAGACGGTGCTTATCCTCGGCACCTTGGGCTACGCACCCTACTCTGCCGCCCTCTACGTCAACAACCGATACGGTACCGAGTGGTTCGTCCTCTTTGGCGGCGCCACCTGCGGTATCGCAGCTTCTGCTCTCTGGGCCTCCGAGGGCGCCATCGCTCTGGGCTACGCGGATGTTCACGATCGAGGAAAGTTCAGTACGTTCCAACCGACACATTTGGCCTCTCTCTGCCTCTTTCTGACATATTGTTCCAGCGGGTATCTGGCTTGGTCTTCGCGAGCTCGGCCAGCTCATTGGTTCCTCCATCCAGCTGTCGATGAACGTCAAGAGCGGCCAACGCGGCCGCGTCGGCTACACGACCTATCTCGTCCTCATCGCCCTGCAGTGCCTCGGCCTGCCGCTGGCCCTCCTCATCTCACCCCCGCAAAAGGTCATCCGACCTGACGGCCGCCGCCTGCCGGATCCCACCAAGAACAAGGCGATCATGGGCGAGTTCCGCAAGTGGTGGAAGCTGCTGCGCACGCGCCAGTTCTGCCTCCTCATCCCCATCCTCGTCGGCTTCAACTGGAACAACACGTATCTCGGCATCTACCTAGTCCGCTACTTCTCCGTGCGCTCCCGCACGCTGGCGTCGCTGTGCTCGGGGATCGCCGCCACAACGGCCAACATCTTCTGGGGCTGGTTCTACGATCTCAAGTACTTCAGCCGCCCGCAGCTCGCCAAGATTACCTGGTTCTTCTTCGCCATCACCATGGTCTCGTTGTTTGGCTGGCAGTTCGCCATGGAGAAGGAATACTCGACCTCCGAAACGCCTGTGACGCTTGATTGGGATCTGCCCGGGTTTGGCAGGGGGTTCGCGGTGCAGGTCTTGTTCAGGTGAGTTGGACTTCTGCGATTTCTGAATATCGATTGCTGATGATTGATCGCAGATTCATGAACGAGTCGCACTACATGTTCGCCTACTGGATCCTTGGAACCTTCTTTGACGACATCGAGACGCTTACGCTCGCCGTAGGTCTTGTGCGGTCGTTTGAATCTCTCGGCTCGTGTCTCGCTTTCGGCGTCGGCGCCGCAAAGGTGGCGCCCATGACCAATCTCATCATTGCCTGTGTCATGTTCAGCCTGTCGCTTCCAACAACATCATGCCTTGTATTCCTCGTGCCTGAAAGGCCCAAGGAGCATGTTTTGGATGATACGGAAGAGTCCTCTGACGAAGGCAAGACTGTGGATGCGCCTGGGCTGGTCAGGATGGCGCCGGCCACGGAGGTCGCCGATGGTCCTCGGAAGTAACATGCCGTCCTCACATTGTTGAGAGGTGACTCGGAGTTTGAATCTAGATGTGCAATTGAGAAATGTCTGTCAAGAGACAATAAAGTAGCGCTCCCACATGGCTGCGTACATGCGAACCTCAATCCATCATGACGATCTCGATCTTCGATTCGTCGGCCGCCTCTCCGTTCATGAGCCCGTGTACATAGCTCTCGCCAACCAAGGTGTAGACCTTCTCGTTCATGTCATCATCATAACCCTTTTCCCGCAGTATAAACGGCACCGCCGTCCCTGGTATCACTGCTACCATGTCGCCCACCTCTGTCAATGGCGGAATCAAAGCGAGGTATCCTTTTTCTGTGACAGCCAACCGTCGCGAATAGCATCGGTACTGTGCCGAAGTCACCCATCTGGATCCTAGCTGCATCCGCTCATGTGTCTCCTCTGGAGATAGTGCCCTATCCTCATCATCGAGCGGCACTTCTACGAGGTGACGCATCCCATATCGATACCACACCCCGTACACGGGGTCGGCTGGCCAGTCCATACCGCTGCCGCTGGCAAGCTCCCCAGTCCCGACAGATGGAGCGTCGCAGACCAAAGTCCGCCAGAGAGCCTCCTCGTGGCTCTGACCGTTGGCGTACGTATCTCCACTCAGTGTCGCGACCAAAGCCTGCGCCGCGAGGATCCAAGCATTGCACCTCTCCATGTTAGCCTTGCTGTTGATGCGGTGTGTCAAAGGATCGACCCTGCGCGGTCCAATTCCTCCGTCATACGATCGATCTTGTCGACAATGATGACTTCAATCTCAAGACCCCTTTCATGAACGACGGGCCCTCTGTTCACGAGCCCGCCGGAGGTCTGATACGCCCTCTTCCCCTTCGGCAATGCGGCAATGACAGACCGCCCGGTAATCGACCAGTCGGGCACCCAAGACGGCAGCGCAGTCAGGCGACGCGGCCCACCCCACGCCGCTGCAGGGCAGGATTTCGTGCAGCGTGTCTACCTGCATGTAGACGAACCGCGCCGCGTTGATAAAGACCTCTTCGGGCGTCTTGGTGTAATCCGGCGCGACGAGCGGATGCGCGCCATCCTTCGGCGAGGCCGACGAGCGCGAACACTCTGTCTCGCGGATCCGTGCCTCAACGTCAGCACTCGGCAAGCAGTGAAGGAGCGGGCCGACAGCGCCATCTCTTCCCTGTGGTATCGCTTCCGGATGCTCGACAGCAGCACCACATTGGTGGCGCCAATGGGTGCGTTCGTCTCGCCCAGCACGCTCGAGTCCTCAATCATGACGCTGAACTCGAACGAGAGGATGAGGCGGAGGATGATGGGCGCGAGCGTCTCCCACTTGATCGTCTCGCGCCCGTAGACGACGTGCAGCATCTTGTTGACGGCGATCTCCTGCACCATCCAGATGCGGGTGAAGTAGGGGTGCGCGAGGATCTTGCCGATGGCGAGCCAACGTGGCGTGCGCCGCTCGTGGACGTACTTCAGAAAGAGCTCCTTGTCTGTTGGTGTGTATGTTTTGATGTAGTGCGACAGCTCGAGGACGAGGTCGATGGCGATGTGTGAATCTTCGCTGGCGCCGAGCCATATCGTCACGAGGGAGGCGGCATTGTAGATATGGTGCATGATGCTCACCTGCCAGGCCTTTTCCGCGTTATCTTCCTGGTTGATGCAGATCGAGTCGATCCAGATCCTGCGCGGTTCGAAGACTGGGCTCATGTCGAGCAGTAGGTTGTAGACGTTTTGCGTCGTCTTGAATGGCTTGTCGTTCACCCATATTATGTGCGTTTTGGTCGGATCGCCCCATGTGTATGACATGGCCTGATAGGTGGGATGGCGCTGGCCAATGTCGACAGTGACAAGCTTGCAACTGATCTTGCTCGAATTGCCCCGTGGCAGAATGTACAATAGTCGAATGTCCCAGTCGTTCTGCAAGGCTGGGTGCTCAAAAGGACGTGACAGATCTTCACCACTGGCCGGTAATGACCTGCGTATTTTGAGGTCGTAGGAAGTTTTGAGGTCGTAGAAAGACTTTCCGACGAACCTCCATGTCATATCTGTGAGGAGTCTGAGGAAGTGACTGCGCCAGAGCTTTGTGTAGATAATATGCGGAACGGACGCGCAAGCCAGGGTCACCCAAAACCAGTCCATCAACTGCCCAATGCTGGGCGGATCTGTCACAGCCTTGTAAAATCCATCCTTAACAAAGGCAACGGAACCTCGCGGGTAGTGAAAGAGTATAGAGCTGATTACAAAAGTAGGCAGCGTAAGCGGTCCTCGCTGGGCATGGTCATACCACATCTCGGTTGCGGGCAGATCAAGGTCGGGGAAAACAAGAGGTTGAGCGGCGTAAGCGACAAATATGATCAGGCTGAAGACGAATGTCGTGTCTTCAGTGCCAATGAGCCAGTCGCCAAAGAGGCCGAGAAAGATTGCGAGGCGTCCGTTGGTGATGGCAAAGACGCACAACAGAGGTATCCAGAAGCGACTGATCTTAAACGTGATGGAATCCAGCACCCACCCGAGAAGGGCGCTCCCAATGTGTCCCAGGAGCTGGCCGACGAAGGAACTCACCAACGTTATGCGGCGTTCCCTCGCCAGGATCGCGTCGACTGTCGCCATGGCAAGAGAATTGCGACACTTATGCTATCTTGGCATGAGGGGTTGCACGTCGGCTGAAGGTCAAGCGATCATATTTAACAGGCTCCGATCCCACACAAGGCATATTGAGGCTTGACAGTGAGCCTTACCGGGTATATGCCGGTCGATGGCATTAGGTAATCGTTGTTGACAGCTGCATCAGCTCTCCCCTGGTGGTCGTGGAGATTAAGTCTTAACTCCGGCGCAGGTCTGGAGCGATGAACCAGGGGTCAGCTCAAGTGTTGACAACGGCTCTCTTGAGGGTTTGTAGGCGATGGTGTTTCACATATTGACTATCCGTGATTTCATGACGAATGGGGCTTTCGAGCAACCCTTATGGACAAGAACGCCAGACATCCTTTGCCCCCAACGCTGTTCACCAGTGCACTATGTCGAGCTTCGCTAAAAAGGTGATCATCACCACGAGCTCAGCCTCAGGTCTAGGACTGGAGACGTGTTAGGCCCTCTTCAATGAAAGCGCTCATATCGGCATGTGTGATATCAATGCATAGGCCCTCGACTACATGGCTAGCTCCCCGAGGACCACCGAGACAAGGTTCTGACTGGACGTGTCGGTTATTCCAATCGCGAGACATTCACGGGTTTTCTGGAGGAAATCAGGCCACACTCTGGTCATGACCACTTTAATCGTCGGTAACGGAACGGACACAGCGGTGCTCAGCTCTACGACAGAAGTGACTCTTGTCAAAGATGGGTGAACGTTGTGGCGTCTCAAAGGCCATACAGCTATGAGCATCAAATTTCAATGCATTTGTAATCCTCAATCGTCTTCAAATCTTAAGGCTACTTGAATGCATGTACTGATTCTCATTTACATTATAACCGGGCCAGAGCAGGCGTTCCAGTCATTGAATTAGTTATAGTTGATCCACAAGCTTCTCCGCCGCATACGAAACATTGGATCCAAAAGTAGATGGAAGTGCCTGAGTGTAAACGCACGTTAGCTCTGGGCCGGAATACGTAAGCTGGTGTTCCAGAGTAAAATAACTTACCTGCAGATACAGAGTGCCGTCCTCGATGACGACTTCACCGTATGAGCCGTACTTGAGAGTGTCCACCAGCCGAAAGGCCAGCTCGCCCTTCTCGACAGCCTCATTGAAACCCTCCTGAATCAAATCATCCTCTTCGATCTTGATGTTCTTTAGCTGCCAATCGAGGCCCTCAAAATATTGCTCGATCAGGTAGCCAAGCTGTTTCTCCCAGTCGTCGCGTACCTCGCTGCCCTTGGCGGCCGCGGCGGTCTTGAGAGTCGCAAAGGTGGCCTCAAAATTGGGGATGAGCTTGATGTCAGGCTTGGCAATTTGTGTGGCAATGGACTTTTGCACAGCTTCAATTTTCGCGTCGTATTCGGTCTTGATAGAGTGGCGCGCCAGAAAGCTGAGAGGTGCGTCGCTGGGAACGGCGTTGAGGGCGGGGAAGAGCTGATCCTCCTGCGCAGCGTAGCTGATATTAGAACCCAAAGCGTCAGGGCGGAAGAGCATCATAAGCTTGCCGTCCTGCACGCCGACACTGCCGTAGCTGAAGGTCTTAGGTTCTGCGTCTTCGACGTCCATGCCGAGGACGTGGGCAGAGGCAATGGTATTGATCTCCTCAGCCAGGTGGGGATACCTCTCGGCCTGGTACTTGATCTGCCAGATGACACCCTCAACGTAGCTGTGTCAGACGATTGTCAGTGACAGGAGGCTTGGCGAGACTGTTTCCCCAGGCATTCTTACTCCTTAATGCAGCTACCCACAGATTCCTTGGCGTAGCCGTCATTGTGGTATGGCCAGATGGCGTTAGGGTTGATATCAATTGCCCAAGTCTCCCCAAGAAGGTCCGACAATTGTTTCTCGTAGTCTGACTTCTTGCTATCCCACTCGTCACGAACTGGAGAAGACTTTCAGCTGAGTTTGTATTGGTGCACCGAGTTTTTGACTTACTGTTCTTACGAAGCACGAGAGAGAGCTTTTCTGCGGGGGGAAGACGAACCATGATGGTGGATTTGCGCGGGTTGAGTTTAAAAAGTCAGAAAAAGGTCTTCAGTGTATTGTTCGCTACAAGATCTGTCTTACAACGGCTGCTGGAAGTGGTTTATGTAGCTGTCTTGACTGGCGGTTCGATGCCTGACGATGCCGGCATTTGCCGTTGCGTTGGGGCGTTGTGGAGATTATCCTCAAGGCAGATGCGCCATGAAGCCTGCCAAGTAGGGCTCTGAAGTCTTTTCAGGAACGCGGGGTTTGTGGAACCTTGCCTGGCGTGAAGATCATAGCGGTATTCTGCCTTATGGCCTCTACTAACGACCAAAGCTGAACGCATCTGAGCTCAGCTACGACGCCTCGGCAGACGCCATCCGCCACGCCCTACCGGGAGATTGCGACCGAGACGGAATGGGGCAAGGCGTTCACTCAGACCCCTGAATGACCCCTCATCGTGAGGCGGACACAAGGCAAGCTGCCTGGATCCCGTTGTGGGGTGACGCATACTTGTATTGCCTTGGATCATCATTCGGCGTCGGTATACGTGGTTGGTGTCTGCTTCTCACCCAACTTTCAAATCGAAACATGAAATGTCGCTGTCAGTCTTGTCATAAATCCCCGCACTACATGTCGAGAAACCCAACTGACGTTAAATGTACCAGACCTCTGAAGGTCCAAATCGGCGTGCGCGACCACTGGGCGGCGGAGACGAGTCCGACTAAGACCTCGCTAAATAAACTCGCCAGCGTCCTCGGGCGGGCGGTCGTTGTCGATCCCGAGTGGCAGCTCCTGCTCAACGAGCTCGGCGGAATTTACTCCGATAAGCTCCGGTTTGTGCAGGTGGTCGCAGGATGCGTCGAGGCATTTGCGAACAGCACCGCTGAGCTGCTTGAGGACGAGGAAGCTCATGAGCAGTGGATAGAGACTCTTCTAGAGAAGACAAAGACTCAGTCACGTTTGAGGCTTTTCCTGGAGGTGCGATTCTGCCTGATACCAAATTCAACTGTGCGCATTGCTGATCAGCACAGACATCTGGCTCCAACGATGTAGCCGTGTCGTGGTCAGACCAGAGGTGCGGGTTCATTATCAATCTGCCGAAGAAACAGATTCATTCTTTCCCGGCGCTGTATCCCAAACTTCGTGGTGATCTTCTCAAATGCTTCACTGCCTCGAGCATCCAAGCTCCCGGTCAGCCTCCCGCCGCTGACGACTGGGCAGGGGTTGAGGTTGACGCCGGTACTGGAAAGCCTACTGTCCTCGAGGCGGTCGTCCAACAACCGCAGAACCACGCGAAAACTGGCGAACACCTCCCAAACTGGGGAACCCTGCCTCGACCTGACGACTTGTTTCTGCAACCGCCCTACTACCTCATCCTTCATGGGAGCACCAGCCAGATTGTAATTGAATGTAGTCACAGCCCGTCGCTGAAGCTGCTCTCCGAGTATCTTAAGCGTTGGTGCAGAGTCAATCACAATGACTCGCGATCTGTAAAATCCCCCCCCCCCCGTTTCCCCAGTTGTTGCCGGTCGTTGAATGTTTACTGACAACTCCCCGGCTCAGCCACCGGCGGTCAACATTCAGTTGCACCAGTCAGCCTTTGGGTTAAGCGAGATGTTTGACAAGCTCGAGCTTAGTACACAGGATAACCGCTACACAACCCAGTTCCAGATGACTTCGCCCATGCTATTGGCTTTGATAGAAGGCGTGCTGGGCTATAAGCTGTTGTCGAGCCAAGGGGGAACATGGAGCTTCCGCCGGGAAACCGAGTTTCTCTCACAGCGGTGACCGCATCGGCGTTGATTCTCCTCGTTCGCGCCAAACCGCAAGGTGCTCTAGTAAGAGAGGTAAAGCACAGCCTCCTTGTGCCCTCGAGAAGAATACTTGTCAATAAAAGTATGGTCAGTAGCAAAGTTCTATCTTGTTCGATCACAACAACGAAGGCGATAAGAGGCATTCACCAGGCGGTATCAGCAGGTGTAGACTTTGATGCCCGGCTCAAGAGATGAGACAGTGAGCATGAGTGCGCCCATTCACTAAGCGTAAGCTCTTAGACTCTCTATCACGTTTAATAAAACAAATGTGACCAGATGCAAGAAGTCCAGATACGTGCTGTTTGTTGAGACTACCGATTGACTCCTGCGGCGGCTACATCTCCTCCCCGTGGTCTTCATTTCCGACACTGCATAGCTCCTGCCTGCCTCAATTGTATTCTAGTGCTCCTTATACAGTCAATGGGTAGCAGTGAGTGGGCGTCTTGCGTCTACACCTTGCTCCCGTGCCTTAATCTGGGCGAGTGGTCGATGATGCCGTACAGAAATGGCGCCGGGGCAAACAGAATGTACTATCTAGCAGGCTCCGGCCGGGATCGTAGTGCTTGCGAGACGCCTCCCTCCATTATAAGAGGCACCAGAGCCAAGACCGCGCTTGGCAAAGCCCTTTCACAGCTCGCAGCGGATTGCTGCCACCGGTGAGGGATGCGAGTCAGCGTCAATGATGGCATCTCTGGCCGAAACGAAAGTCGGGATTGCATGGTTCCCTGCCCGCCGATATTAGACAATGTCTGTACCAATGCTGGAAAATTGTCAACTTACAGAGCCATGCCGTCAATCCAAGCTTCATGGCTAGGGAATTTGCCGTCGGTTGGGGACGCCTGCAGTACTGAACTGAGGCCAGGTACCCATCGTTCTTGCCCGTGCTTATCGATGAGGTTCCAAAGGACCTCGTAGAGAATGCTCGCCCCATGTGGTACCAATAGCATGAACGGCGGTCTGGCTGTTCACTGTGGTGTATGTGTATGGGTTTGTGGTCATCGAAGTTGAGTACTTCACTGGTCGGATTCCAGCAGGGTTGTTAGTGGCCCAGGCTCCCATGACGTAGTCTGTCGCACGGGTGTCTCCTCGCTTTAGACGGATGGCTGTAGCAAAGAAATCGCTCCACCCTTCGCCCATGCCGCCGGACTCAAGAGAGTTGAGGCAGCCAGCATTTGCAGGCCCACCAGTCAGACGGTTTGAGACTAACAATCTAAGTATATGCATATTTTATAGTAGTAGAGTTGGATTCACTTACCTCCATGGGCGTATTCGTGGATGACGATGCCAGCCTCGAAGCTGGCGTCCCTGCGAGGGGTTGAGGAGGTGAAGAGGTACATCCTCATCCGGCCCGGCTGGCCATCAGCAGGAGAGGCAAAGTTGGCATTGTTGGTCCCGGAGCCATCTTGGGTGTTGAGGATGACAAAATCGGCGCCTCTTCCTCCCTGGCCATTGTTGTTGGTCTCAAAGTTGCCAGCCGCCTCGGTGAAGCCTAGAAGGTACAAGAGGTCATGGAAGATGTTTGAGGTGTAGAATAGCTGGGTGATAGACGCATCGGCGTAGGCAGACGGTGTCGCCATGCTAGTTGAGTACTGGAAATCAAAGTTCAGATTCGTGCGGGTAGGGCGATAGTTGTTGAGATACGCTGTTCCGCCGCTGGGGTTTGACTGAGCAATTGCGTTATTGCCCCTCGTGGTCGTGTAGTTGGTAGTTCCGTCGCTGTGGTAGGCAAACTCGGACGCCTTTGAGTTCCATGGGTCCGTTATCAACTGACGAGATCCCTCGCTGGGATCATTCACACCCCACGGGCTGCTGATGTCAGAACCGAGAACAGGCTGCGCAGGTGCAACATGTGTCGCCGAGAAAAACGTCAAACTGATGAAGAGGAGAGGAGAACTCACTAGACGTTATAGGTCGCAAGATCGGATACGTAGTCAACAATGCCATGAATATCTTCCCCAGTTTTGGCGTCGATGTACGTTAGCAACCAGTTGTCCATGATGTCCGTCTCAACCCGCCAAGTCAAGACAAGCGACCCATCTTTCTGGGCTATGTAGACCAACTTGGCTACGGGGTCAGACACGGCGCCATCGGTGCCAGTGAGAGTGTAAGTCTCTTGCCCTTCCTTCGGCTCTGCAGATGCAGTGGAGGCCTCAATGGGCAGGCCGAGGATCTCGGTAGTCTTCTGAAGAGCGAGAACGGGGTCGTTGAAGTCTCTCTTTTTCAAGGGCTCCTCCTCGGGGATCTCGCCAGAGAAGAAACTGTTGCCGAAAGAAAAGACTTCACCATTGCTGTCAACCTGAATCATGTTAGTTCCCCAAATGGATAATAAGAACCACCCTTCAGAACGCGAAAAACTTACATTAACATTGAAATCAGCATTGTCAATGTCGATGCCGTGGGCGGTTTGCTTGAAGTTTACATGGGCAATTCCATTAGCTCCCACGTAATGATCGGAGACAACCCTGAAGGTGACGCCGGGCACAGTAGCTTTGACGAGCTCAGTGGCAGTCTCAACGTACGTAGCCCGCTTGCTGAGGGTCATAATCGGGTCAGAGGCTGTTTCTGTAGCGTTGACATATTCCGACAGAAGGGGAAGCCGGAAAGCCTCGATATCAACACCTCTCCGGGCGAGATGGGGCTGATGAGTGGTTGGATGGGCAAATACCCGGGACCCAGGCCCAAGCAAGCCCGTGAGCACGAGAGATCTGATGGCACCCATGATCATAACGATGACAGAAATATTTCTGGAGATGCTTGCGATAAGTCGAGAGCTGATGAACTCCAGATCACGTCCATCAGAATCGTGGGATTCTGGAAGTGAAATAGACGGCGACACGAGCTCCTCGTTCACAGTTAGTCCCTCGCGGTAACAGCTACATATACTGGCCTTGATCGAGCTTCCTATTCAAGTCTTCGACTCCGTCCTCCATCTCATGATGTAGTCTCTGGGGTTCGTCAAGGTCACTTTCCCTATTGAGTACATGTAGCGAAATCCCCTCCTCCAACGTAAAGTCGTGACATGGCATCATTATGGAAATCCACCCTTCTTCTTCGCATTGCGGTCATGGGACACGCTGGTTGTAATCATGTCGCTGCTTCTGCTGCTTTGTCACTGTTGTGTGAGTACGTAAAAGGAAGGTGGCCACATCTCGATACGCCGAGGTTGCATCCGCGATTGATTCACCAGAATCGCCATGCAGCCAAGTTTGACTCCGGTAGATCAAGTTGATCTCCACAAGACATCTTGTGACTAAGCTCTCAGCTGTGCTAAACATCCTCCTCGAGGGGGTTAGCCTGGGCTACTTCAACAGCTCTCTCAACAATTAGCTTCTTCGGACTTATCGTCCGAAAGTAAGCTGCCGTATTGCACAAGAGCGAAAGTCACAGTTGGGGCTTCCGGGATATCCGGGAGTGGATTTCAGTTGAATGTAGTGAACGTACATCAACTGGCGAAATGTAATTAACCTACGGAGGGTCAATCCCGACCAACAAAGACATCACATGAGGTGCTCATGTAACCAGAGTCCTAATCTCAACTGCCTCTTAAGGTCGGTTGGTTACAACCAAGCATGAAAGCGGGGACGTAGGCCCTCATGTGGTGACTAGCTTGGTGCCGGATATCGGCTGCTATGCTGGCGAAAGACCTGCCCAAAGCGGGTTCTGCCGACGCGGGATTTACAAAGCTTATCATTTCGGGGTCTATGCCGGCCGGGCGTTAGCGCAGCCTCATCGGACCTCATCACCGTCACAGATGTAAAGAGGATGCGACCGAGGCACTCAACCAAGATCTTCCGCAGAAGCGGCCATTGATAACGAAAACTTGACGCGCGGAATGGTCGATGTCAAGCACACCTCATAGTTTGATTTCATCGCCAATCAGATTTGCGACTAATAATTAGAATCGCCTTGACAAGCCTACTGCTAGTTCTCCGCCAGTTGAAAAACTATCCGTACGGACTTCACAATACTTATCTCCATAGGGCAGAGGTTTACGCTAAGGATTCCACTTGGGTCAGAAGACAAGAAAGATATCATCGGAGAATTGTTACGATGGCTGTGTTGGAACTCGAATCGCCGCTGAGTGCATGCAGTTGTGAACATATGAGATGGACGAAGCGGATAAGGTAAAGCAGATGGATGGGAAGTGAATGTCGATTGGTGTCAGTGCTTGATTTGGGGCAGAGTGAAGAGGTCTTCCATACGTGGTCCGCAGGCAATAGAATACAGGCAGGGGTTCGGCACACATCTGAATTCGAGCCCTCCGCAGCTTAGATGGCCATCCGCAGTCCTTATATACACGCTCTCGTAACCATTGCCCCCCTGACGGACCCCGTGCCTGGTTACTCCGCATGGCCACCTGATAACTAGCATCCTCGACAACGTGCAGGAGTGTAGCACACGTCTTATCTTATCACTATAGGTTCATCGTCTAGATCCTTGGGTGATTGACCGCCGGTACTAACAGCTATGGAATAAGCCAATTTAGTAAAAGAACAAGCAATGTGCCTCGGAGTCAATCATATGTACTACTGCGGAAAAGAAAATCGACAGGAACGTGAGGAGATTGTTTCGGGTGCTGACGTCTATCTACATGGTTTTTCGCGACATGCCAGCTTTCGGCCCCTACCCCGCCGCCCTTCGAAGGTGAACTTTCAGGCGCCGCCTATTATGCCTGGAATTGTGGTTTCAATGCATATCAGGAGCTGCTGTTAATGTGATCTCACGTCAATGAACAAAGTCCGCATCGACATCTTCGCTATAGAACATTAACTCGCTAGAATGCCCACTATGGAGCCTGTTGTGTGCCTCTATGCAAGGGTCAAACAGAAGTACCTGCTGCAGCGCTTTTGGATTGAGAGAGGTGCGAGGCCAAGAACGGGGGAGGGTAAATCGAGTATTGGAATTGCTGGCTTTTGTGTCCGACGTTTGAGACAGCGAAACCAGGGCGCGAAGCCGAAAATGGTTCGAAGCCTGTGTTGGGCCTGAGTTCAACTCCTTCAACAATGAATCCCGATAAACAACATCAAGTATCCTCACTATTAGCTACGAAAATTCATCTACACAGCCTTGTTGCGAGTTCCATTCCTTAATCTCATACCAGGAAAAATCTCAAAAGCAAGTAGAAGCCGGATTTTTTAATTCGAAAACTTTACTTTCGCTGTGAGAGTCATGTGTGGCCATGAAGCGTGAAAGAAGCTGTGATTCAACAATCTAAGCAGCGGGGAAACAGTAGTGTCGAAGCCCTGCGCCTTGGAGACGGTTTCCAGAAAAATAGCCATGGGTGCAAAATGGTGGCACGTCAAATATCGAAAGGGTCAACTGTCGAACAGAAATACTCAATAGTTTATGTGAATCATCGCCCAAGTTATCAATGGTTGGAAGTGTAATTCTCAAAATGAAGGCCGACGCCAAGTGACGAACTGTAGCGATACTTTCCTCGGTAGACAGAATGATCAAACTTACATAGGTAGTGAGTGAAGGCCATTCGATATAGGTGCTTTTTCGCGTGCTACATGAATAGAGTTCAAAAAATAATGGCGACTAAGTACGTTGAGAGCGTCTTCATCTCATGATCAGTAGCGATATATAACAGCATCCTTGGATAGAATGCCAGCGTAGCATCGTCGATAAAGCGTGAACCCTGGGTGCTTTTGTAACTACCCAAGTTTTCTAATAGTCATGTCAGGTTTGACCATCAGGCAACGAGTCTAGCATTTCGTGTTCGACCACTGGGTTAACGCAGATTCCCTCGTGCTTGGAATACAATATGGGTGTGCTGTGTGCCTAACGTTAGGCATTCAACATCTCTACCCCGATGTGAATGATGAATGCTGCTCTGGTGTCGAAAATGATGACCATCTAGCATATCGGTTCTGAAGTAGAAATGCAAGTTGAGGCAGTCTGGAGATCGCAGCGCCAATGTCTCGAAACGACGCCCAAGACCTCATGCCTGTAGCAACTAGTGCTTGCATTGAGTGGCTGGCCTTAGTGAGGAGTCAGGGGTAGGGCTGGGCCCACTGCGTGCCACAATCGTGATCGGCGTCATATGCATGCCAGCTGAGCTCTCTATGTCTGCAGCCTGATGAGGAGGCTTCGGAAGACCCCCTCTATGCATGCTTGCTTGCATACCGATGATAGATGGTTTGCGAGTTCCCTAGTCAGATCTTCAGAGCTGTGCGTGCCCCCTTCCGAAGGGAGCTGACTAAGTGTATCGTTGGTTGTCACGTGTCAGGCTCGCCGACCTGTTCAGATAACAGCTTAAAGATCTACGCCAATCAGACCCCAGAAGCCGCCTTTCCCCCCCCTGGACTGGAATGAGGTCAGTCACTCCATCCAGTCCGCCCAAGATCCACACCAGCTCCGTCCCAGTCGCGATATGATTCTAGCCTGCCTAGCATTCGTGGCATCGGACTGACCTCCTCTCTATCAGCTCCTGCACTCACCTCAACCTCCTCCGCCGTTGCAACAAAATCCGCCATCACGACCAGTTCCGAACTCTAACTGCGCCAAAGACCCATCATCATCTACGGCTCCGATCCAGCACCCTCAAGGTCCGACTGCCCGACTCTACCTCCGAATCGCCTTCTTCACCACCCACCACCCCCTTGTCATCCTGGCTCCCAGCTGGGCGAGCTGGCCAGCCCATACCCAGCACCGGTCGAATGAATGCAACCTCTAAATCCCTTCCTCGCAGCCTTCTTCCGAAGCTCCCTGCCGACTCAGTGCACCCCAGTGCACCACCACGTCCTGCTGGTTCCGAGCACCGATGCGCTCCTCACATCTAGAGAGACCGACAGCGGGCTCCTCCTCCCAGGGAGGTGATCGTTTCGGAAGACTTTCTGGCGAGCCATGTTCTTCGAATACCGGGGACGGCTATCTCGGCAGCAGGCGGGAAGGAGGCTGCGCAGAACCTTCGGGAGATGCGGGGCAAGGCCAAGCAGTATACCACAATCAACGGTCGCACAGTCGTCATCAAGGATACCCACGTGTACAGCAACAAAGGTTTGTGCCATGGCCAGACTCGATTGTGCTTCCACTGACCTATAGTCAGGCTTCAAATCCCTTGCGCAAGCGCAGCTCTTGAACGATGCCATTTGGTACCCTGATGTCCTTGAGCCTAGACCATGGCTCATCTATTACATTACGAAACCGCTAGTTGGTATTTGGGAAGAGGTTACCATCGCACCAGCAATCCTCGTCGATGGTGCGACCAAACGGGCCATGGCGCTGAACCGAGCTGCCAACGTTGCTGCCAACGACGGCGCCATGCTGCCGCGGAAAAAGGACATTAAGAGCTTCCACGAGCTTCTCAACCAGTTTCCCATCATCGCACGCCAGATGCAGCCTGGTCTCGAAAAGCTGTTCTTGGAATTCACCATGGTCTTTGAGCGCCCGCTACCTCCGCCGCCATCCGCCTCTTCAATACCAGACCCGCTCCCCGATGGACCGATCGCCTCGGCCATGAAGAAGGCTCGGTCAAGCAGCATGTCGACCCCCCGAAACGGCATGATCGGTCCGAAATCTGTGCCTGTCACTGAGCCGTTCTATGCCGAGGACGACGAGGATGTCATGCGCGCCTCATTCGAGACAGCCGTCACCACTGCCATTGACCTGTTCCAGGCCGTCGACAAGCAGCAGCTGTCCATGCTCGGCGCAACTACCGACCTTACTGGGCCAATCGTGGAACGGCTGATCGAGCGCTATGTGACGGAGAATGTGCATCACCTCATCTTCCCGCGACTCAGCGCCATGAAGCGACCCTACGATCTTGAGTTAGAGGCCAAGATCCGCCAGATGGAATTCATCGACCTGTCACAGCTCGGCATCGGCATTGATGGTGGCCCGAGAGTCAAGCACGATTTGACTATACACCTGGGACTTGCCGTCGAGGAGTTTAAGAAGATGGGCAACGCCATGAGTCCGCAGGAAATGTTGGAGCTGCTGTTGTCCACAACCAAGATGGTGACGCAATTGACCGCCGTAGGCGAAGACAGTCAATCACAGAACCCGTCTTCCGAAAAGCCCACGACACTCACAGTCAACGCCGATACACTTGTGTCTCTACTGCTATTTGTCGTCATTCGCGCGCAAGTCAGAAACCTGCAGGCCAGGCTCGTTTACATTCGCCACTTCATCTACATCGACGATGTGGAGAACGGCGAGATGGGCTATGCACTGAGTACATTTGAAGCAGTCCTTGCGTATCTTGCTATGGACTCGGGAGGTCTTCGACGGGCGAGCCGCCGAAACAAGGCTCTCTGGGATGCTACCCGGAATGGCAAGATGGATGATCTTCAAAATATTATGGAACCAGAGCCCGGCCGTAACATGCAAGACGAGGACGAAGAGGATGAACATGCTTTCTGCGAGTCGCCAATACCCAGCCGGCCATCTTCTAGTTGGAGCGTCACAAATGGATCAACACACGGGACATCTTCTCGGAGACCCTCTACAGCTGCGTCATCAACCGCGCGATTCTCATCTGGGTCTGGTTTGAGCCATGTATTTCCCTTTGAAGCCGGGAGCGATGCATCATCGTCATGTGTCGACTTTGTCATGCCGCCGCTTGCCAGGATAAAGAAGGTGGCCATGGATACGAGGAGCATGTCGAGCAGCTCCGAAATCTCGTACCATTCTCGAGCCGCAAGCATCGGAACCCTAGGTAGCGCTTTGGAAGGCGATGTGACGGTCGAGCGCTTATCACAAACACATGATCTGTTCGGCGAATCCGTGCTCATGATGGCTGTGCAGCATGAGAGACCTGATGTGCTCCAGTACCTGCTGTCGCTCAACGAGTACTACACCAGCCAAATTGTCCTCGATGACATCAACAACGAAGATACAACGCTTCTCAGCGCCGCTATACAATTAGGTCACACGGAACTCATCGACACGATACTTGATTTTGTGGCCAAGGCGGCGACGACGACGGAGCAATTGTCGCGATACCTCGCTTCGCAAGACATATGGGGCCGCAGCTGTGCGCATTACATGTTCCACGCGCCCTACCTAATAGCCAAGATTGGCAAACTGGTGCCCTGGCGGCAAAAAGATAAAAACGGACAGACGCCGCTATTCGCCCTCTGCCGCTCGTACGACCACGGAAATTACCTCGAGATGGTGCCGGCCGGCTTGGATGCGGCCACGGCAGCGCAGGCTGACGGGCAGCCGCTGCATATTGACGACCACATTGACGGCAAGGGAAACTCACTGCTCCACATTGTCAACGACCCACAACTGGCGCTTGGGATCATGCAACAGTGGGACGTGGATGTCAATGCGACGAACGACAAGAAGTTCACGCACTCATGGTCGCTAGCAAGTATGGCAGGCTTGACATGGTGCGCACACTGTTCGTCGACCCTCGGGTCGACACTGCAGCCAGGGAGCTCCGTGGATTGACGGCTGTTGAACTAGCAAGGATGACGAAGTGAGGAATAAGATTGACGACTTGGCGCTATTCAGCATGCCGCCAGGCACCCGACGCACGCATCACAGGTGTTGTGCGGGCGTACTTTGTCGAAGATGCCACTGTCCGGCTGGTCTTGAAGTCGGCTGCGCCAGCTGACCACCTGACATACACGGTCACCACGAGCCGGAGGTCACTTTCGGATTTTGAGCATCTCGGCAATCTGCTGGCGCTGGAGAACCCGGCTTCCTGGATACCGTCAGTTGCTAACGCTAGGTCGCCATTCCAGATTCCATCAAAGCCGTCAAGGGCGGTGTTGCGGGATATACAGATTCGGACTGATTGGTTCCTTCGCATCATGCTTGCACACTCGACATTCTCGACGCATGAAATGCTGTGGGAGTTTTTCCTGGTGCCGGATATCCAACTGGACATGATGGACCAGCGCAGCAACCTGAAGGCAGAGACCAGGGCGGAGAAAGTGCGAGAAGAGCTGGAGCCATTGGAAGACGTCCGCGAAGTCGAGCAATTCATCAACCACGCGCGAGATATGATTCGCAGCGTCAACTACTCGACCAAGAGCGTAGCTCGACGGGCCAGCTCCGTGGCCGTCGTTACTTCTGGTAGGTCTTTTGCTCTTGTAGGTAGCATATGTGTACTGACATGTGTCAGATCTCCATGATGCCGCCTCGCTTTTGCATCGTGCAGTATCAACATTGCCGTTCCTGCCAGAAGCGCACCTGACTGCTCTCGAGGCCTATGTCCGAGTGCTGGCACCAACACAACTTAACCCACCGACGGTATTTCATGGCTCGCTGCTCGCTCTGCAAACAACGGTCCAGGCTCTGCTATCGGCATTGTCGCGCCCGCCGGCGCTCATCTCGCAGATTGCCACGGCGCGCAAGACGATTGAGCGGAACTACAACTCTCTCAGCCGATCATCCAGGTGGCCGTTGGGCCTCCTCGACGACACAAGGCAACGAATGAACGAGGAGAAGGAGGAGAAGGCCCGCCAGTCGCAGGAACAGCTGGACGATCTAGGCCGCGAGCTGCGGTACACACAGCAGGTGGTGGCGGGCGAGCTCGCAGGCTATCAGGAGACGCACGAAAAGATGGGCCGGCACGCGATCCGGCAGTTTGCTCGCGGCATGATCATCCAGGAGCGGATCCGGCTGGAAGGCATGACGAGGCTTCTCCGGAAGCTCCGCGAGGCCAAGGGCGAACAAGTCACGCAGCCGGGCGTTTCAGGTGGTGCGAGCAGTGCTGATGTGAGTCAAGCATCAGAAGAACCGGCTGGTGCAGCTGCTTGTGATGGTGCAGATGCAGGCCGACCCGAGGTGGTGAGCGTGCCGGTCTGAGATGATTGTTCCCCGGTGGACAGGTCGTCTACACCATGGGACGACGCGTGGGATGGGGGGGGGGGGGACAGGTTCGTCACGACGCGTCTGCGAGGCACGCTTTTGACTGGCGAAGAGACTCGGGGCCGAAAGGTGGGCTGCTGCAGCATGACGGGGTACACTGTACTACACCCCGGGGAGGTCGGACAAGGGACACAGACACAGACTTAACGGCCAAGACTGGGGAATCTCGGCATGGGCTGCTCGGTGGGCTTGGAGGACGATTGCAGCGCTGTCTTCTTTCTGGCTGAAGCTGATACTTTTTTTCTTTGTTGATCGGCGCGGGATTTAGACACGGGGCCAGGCGTTGTGTTTGTGCCATGTCTGGGAGGGTGAAAGCGAATAGAAGCTTTTTGGTTTTTCTTCTTTTTTTTCTCTCTCTGCTTGTTACCAGCCTTTTTTTCTTCCTGCCTGTTTACGCGGTGCACCCGCCGACGCAGGAGTTAATACGCGAGTTATCATGATGTGTCTATCTGCTGTATGATACCACTATGAATCTGCTTTAGTAGTCGTCATGGCGAAGAAGGCTGCTTTGTAGAGTGCTTGTTGAGGTCTTCTTCGGGATAGCTTTGAGAAGCCGTCCAAGCTCCTCCGCCAGGAAAGCTCTAGCTGCAGATATCGCTCGTCATGCGCCAACCCCTTCTGCATCATGCTGTCCTGCAGCAAAGCCACGTCGACCGAAGAGCTCATCCAAGCATACACGTCCCAACCACCTCCGCGACGCTGACCCCCGACACGCGAACAAGAACAGACGTGTCCCAGCTCTGCAGTAGGGGGCGAGTCTAGCGCATGAGTCACCTGCCAAAGTGGCCCGGTGCCAGCATGAATCCCTCCCCCCCGGTTTCTCGAAAAAGTCGGGACGGCAATCTGTCTGTTCCAACCCATGTTCCCCCGTCCGATCAGCACGACGGGCGGCGTCCGAGCGTTCGCGAAACAGAACAAACAGGTCGTGGACGTGGGAAACACGCTCCCAATGAGAAGAGGCGAGAGCCAATCGCTGGCGGCGCGTGCCGATTGGTCCGGCGCCCTCGCACGGCGCGTCAAGATTGGGCCGGGGTCGGGGACCAATGGCGAGGGCGATCTGGGGTATGACGGGCGGCCAATGAGCGCGTGGGAGCCGGGTGGCGCGTAGGATGGGGGGATATTGAGGCTGTGCAGCGTTGTACGCGGCGGCAGTCTTTGGTCGCGCTGTAGCGTTGTAGGGGCCCTGCTTAGGTCATGCTTCATTTCATGCCTTTGACGGTGGCAGCGGGACAAGTGGGACAAAGCCAGCGGCAAGCCAAACCGCTGCCGTTGCGCCGGTTCATGCTGGAGACACGGCAGCTAGCCGGGCGGGCATCCTCACAGCGGCCCCCCCTCTCGAGCGGCAAGCGGCTCCTTGGGCCTCTGCCTGGTCTGGTAACACCTGATTGCCAGCCCTGGCAGGCGACAGCGGAGGAGGGCACAGCCGGCGGGCCTGAAGCTGGCGTGAGGGCGGCTTCGTCTGGTGTAAGCGCCGTCCTCGACGACAGGTTTTTTTAGGCGCCGGCGGTTACGGAGGGCGGAAAGGATGGGCGAGGAGCCGAACGGGTCTGGGGGCTCATCATCTGGAAGGGGTGAGTGGTCGATGTTCATTTCGGCAGCCGCTCGCTTTCTGAAATTGCCCTCTGTGTGTACGGGCACCTGCTCGGCCTCAGCAGGCGTCTGTCTGCTGGACGGGTGTATACGAGATGACCGAAATAGAAGGCATACTGGTGGTGAGGCGACTACGGTAGTCAGCTGGCTGGCCAAGCAGGTGTAGGTGGGTGTGGTTCAGGTCAAGGCCCACTGTAAAACAGTAGAGAGACAGGAAACCAGAGAAGCAAAGCAGAAGGTTTTCGAGGGCGCAGCGTGATACTGGGAACCGGCATCGCAACGCCCAGGGACGCGTGTTGCCTGTTTGGGGTTTGGTGATGGCTTCGCGGTCGTCGCGACTGTTGACTGAGCGCCCAGGGCAACAGCGCGTGCGACCAGACAACACCAGCACCGCGTCTACCACCGGCTCCCTTCTACTGGCCTTGTCGGTGCCACGCTAGAGCTGTACGAAGCTGGAGCCCTCGGTGTCGTGGTGTCAAGGTGTCATGGCATGTCTTGGTGTCTAAAAATGAGTCAGAGACGCCTGCAGGATACCTGCATACCTGCCTGCATCGAGCGCTGGCCAGTGGGAGGGGAGAAGCGGGTGGTACAGGGGAAGGAACCCCGGATCGAGGGTACAAGACTACAACAGTGTCTGAAGCCCCAAGTCTGCACTGTATTTGGGCGTGCCTTCCCGCCGCACAGCACAGTTCGCCATGTCCACTCCCCATCGTCAAACCTCCACGTCCATTCTCCTCCATTCTCCGACATGCCACTATCAAACCCATCAACCGCTCCGCCATCCCATCCCTCAACCGCCCTGCAAGCCTCTCGCCCTGTCTCCCTCATCCTCTCCCGATCGAAAAGAACCCGTCGTGTTTCAGATGCACACCCCGGCTCCAAGCCCTGTCGCGTCTCATGGTCGAGACCCAGACGCAGGCCCAGCCTGAGCCCGATGCGGTCATTGTCTTCAGTCGAACAGCCCTTTCTCTGCCGACATGGCACCAAAAGGCAAAAGACACGGAGCCTGCGGCAACCCTGTCCACCGTGGGAACGAACCGTGGACCCCAGAGCAGAGGCCCGCCGCCGACCCTTTCGCGCCGCATCACCATCCATTGGGCTCCAGTCGTCCTGCCATCATAAAGGACCTCGCAGCCCCCTCCTTCTCTTCCTCACGACCACTCGTCTCATCAGCACTCCTCGACCTTCCAGCATTGCCCCTCGTCTTCCCTCTCTTTCCCAATCGCTTTCCTTCCTTGTTTCCTTGTGTATCCAAAAAAGACATAGATCTCAACGGTCGTCCTGGACGCGGCCGGCCTCTGCTTCACGGCACTCACCCTGTCCGCCCCTCACTCTCAACAACCTCTCAAACTCGAGAGCAACTCGACACGACGCAGGAGCTGGTCTCCCTCTTCGCAGCCTTCCCAACCACTAATATTGTTCTCTGTCTGTGACAGATCCCCGCCACCCGCAACCATGTCCACGTACGAGCTCCTCATACACGTCTCAAGGAGGGGCCCTCTCACTAACACGAAGCAGTCTGGCAGCCGACATGGCCTTCGATTTCGCCTATCCCTCGTGCGAGATCCCCGCCAACTTCTCCTTCGACCCTTCTCTCCTCGACATCCCCTTCAATGCTGGCCATGGTCGCTCCAGCTCCCGCGGCTCCGTCTACTCCATGGCCTCCAACGCCGACTCCATCGCCGACACGGCCAGCACCCGCATGAGCACCCCCAGCCGTGCCTCGCCGCCGGTCCACCACCGCGGGCCCATCCTGCTGCCCAAGATCCGCTCCCAGGACCAGGCCCTCGCCCAGTCCCCCGCCAAGCGCCAGAAGACGGCCTCACCGCCGGCTCGTGCCATGCCC